TAAAAAAGAAATGAAGACTTTTAAAATTTGTGGTCCAAAATGAATGATATAAATTTGTATGACTGTAAATTATTTCATTAAGGGTAAAATAAATATTTTATAATCAAATTGTTACTTAATATAGAAATGTGACATTCTTTTGGGACTGACTAAAAAGGAAAGTAAATAACATAAATTGGGAGTAGTTCTTTGTTTCAATTTATGTGACACCGATGAAATTTGGAGAGTTATATAATTTTTTGTATGTGATTTTGTTAAATATATTTTGAAGTTGTTAATTTATTGTGATTTATAGCACTTCTTATATCATTTTCAAATAATATATATTACTCTTTCTGTTCCATTTTATGTGACGTAGGTACTTTTACGAAAGTCAACTAAATTTCTTATATGATTCTTCAATATTTTTAGTTGTTATTTTACTTTAATTTACGTTACTTTTTATGTTATTTTCAAACAAACTTCTTTTGTTTCAATATGGAATTAAAGAGTCAATAAAATTTCTTTTATGATTTTTAATTATGTTTTTTTAATATCTTATATTATTACATTGTGATTTTAAGTACTTTTTATGTAATTTTTAAATCTAGAACAAATTAAAAGAAAAACAAGGAAAAATTTAAATGAAGAAAGTACTAAAATTTTCAAATAATCATATTTCTATATTAAAATGTTAAAAACTTTAAAACTCCACATATATGCAGAAAATCATATACGGAAGACAAAATAATTTTTAAAATATATATTAAAGCTCTTTCTAATAATATCACATATTTATTCTATTTTTCAAATAATATATATTTCTCACTCAATCTCAATTACGCAGTACATATGAAATTTCGAGAGTTAATCAAATTCTTAGTACTATTTTAAACTATATTTTAGTACTATTTATATAATTTTCAAATAATATATGTTACTCACTCTATTATATTATGCAATACATGTGAAATTTCAAGAATTAACCAAAATTTTAATATTTTAAATTGATTTTTAGTACTATTTTTGTAGTAAATAGAGGAAGCTGAAGAAGAAGGGCAAATCGGTCAATTGACTGACTAACCCTAAGCTCCTAAACATTCTCACTTCTAAATGGAAGCACGGGCACAATATCCGTTAAATTGTTAATTATTATGATTTATAATATTTTTTACATTATTTTCAAATAATATATGTTATGTATTTTTAAATACTTTAAGTTGTGATTAATAATATTCTTAACGTAATTTCAAATAATATATGTTACTCCATTTGTCCCAATTTATGTGACACATGTGAAATTTTGAGAGTTAATATGTTTTTCAAATATTGTAAGTTGTTAACTATTGTGGTTTATGGTATTCTTAATGTAATTTTTCAAATAATATATGTTATTCCCTTCGTCTTAATTATAGAATTTGCGTAAAATTTTGAGAGTTAATCGAATTTGTAATATTTTAAATTTATTTTTTAGTACTATTTAAAAAGGAAAAAATTAAAATATTACTATATAAGAAGAGTAGTAATTATATAGTAATTTTTCAAATAATATATGTTATTCCCTTCGTCTTAATTATAGAATTTGCGTAAAATTTTGAGAGTTAATCGAATTTGTGATATTTTAAATTTATTTTTTAGTACTATTTAAAAAGGAAAAAATTAAAATATAATGAAAGGGTGGACCATCTTTGTGATAGGTAGGCCATCTTCAAAAACCAAATATAAAAGTAGGTGGGCCATCTTGGTGCCACGTGTCGAAAGAAGAGTGAATTTTATTCACTCTTCTTATATAGTAATATATAATTTTATTTTATTTATAGATAAAAATATTATTTATAATCTATTTGTTAATATATTTTTAGTTAGTTTATAGTTTTCAATGTTTATATATATTATTTCAAATTTGGGCTTGTAAAATTTGTAAATATTTTATTTTGTATTAAGATCCGAAGTTACAATAGATGTTATAGTTTTTCAAATTCAAAGTTAACAATTTACTTTGTAAATATTTTGTTTAGTATTCAGTTTGTATGTAGCCTTTAATTTAACATAATGAGCGTTGATATTTCAAAAAAAATATTTTGTACTCATGTGAATTTTACCGTCTTTTCGAAAAATTCTATTTATTTAACATTTTTTAAGTTTAGCTTATCACACAGGTAAATGAAAATATATTTGACCTCTTTTTCAAACACCGTACAGTTGTAAAAAATCTAAAAAAAAAAAATCGAAAGAACCGACTAAAGCCGAAACCGAAAAAACCCACTTTGTGTGGTTTGATTTGGTTTTTAAATTTAATAAGCTGACATAATTGGTTTAGATTTTTTTTAATGAAAAACCAAATCAAATCGACCTATGTACGCCCCTAACCACTATAATGTTCTTTCTTAATCATGCTTTCTGCTCTCTAAATTTTCTACAACGTACTACTTTGTGTTAAATTAGGTCTTAGGCCTACTCACACTCCAAAAGCTAGCTCAAAGGAAGGAGGATTGTCCAAACCTCAGATGTGTGGCAATTTGATTTTTGGGGGGCCCCAATATCGGGTGAGATGGGCCCTGCTTTGATACCATGTTAAATTAGATCTTATGTTTAACTCACACCCCAAAAGTTAGCTCAAAGGGAGGGGAATTGCCCAAGCCTTATAAGAACTCCACTCATCTCATTAATCACCGATATGAGACTTTTGTCATTCTTTAACACTTTCCAGATGCCGTTACATATTTGAATGACAAAATAGAAAGTTTTCCTAACTATTTTTATCTATTTTTTTTTTATGTTTTATCGTTTTGTGTCAGAAGTAAAGGGAGAGGTCAAAAGTTAGAGACAATCAGAAACTTTATGTAAGGTAAGAACAAGCGTGCATATATTTTATTATATTATGGATTTTGTTTTCATATATTTTATAATATACATAGTAGATTAGTCAATTTTGTCATTATTTGGTATCTCATAATTGTTTTACAATATACAATTGTAACGTGCGGGTATTGGAGAATACATGCATCATTTCTATCTTCTTCTTCTTTTTTTAAAAAAAATACTTAATATTACTTCAAGCTCACAGCTCTTATTAACAAACTGTTTAATGGTAGTACAAGAAGGGGCATGTAATATAAATTGACAACTTGATGCTAAAAAGAGCAAGGCATTAATTGGAATTCCCTTGAAAGTCTATATATAGTTTCTTCAACAAGTGTAGCAAAACGAATAAATTGATCAAATTATAAACTACAAACTGAAGAACTTAATTGGAGAAGATTTAGAGGGGGTTTGGATTGGCTTAAAAGTTGGTCAAACCTATTTTAAAATCAGTTTTTAACTTTTGAAAGTGTTTGACAAATATAAAAAAAAATAACTTAAAATATGTTAGGAAGTGTTTGACAAGGTCAAAAATGCATTAAAATAAATTTAAAATGACTTAAAGTAGGTCTCCCTACTTTTTATTTTTTGACTTAAAAGTCATTTCAATTTGACTTTTTATTTTTGACTTAAAAACTATTTTTTTAAGTCAATTCAAACGGACTCCTGATTCACTAGTTTTTTGTACATCAATTTTTACATTAATAAGATGGTACAAAAACATTCATAAAGTTAGCTAATCATGTAAAATAAATTGGTGTTTACTGATGTGATGTCAATATTACTAGTGGAATACTTTGAATATTGTCACTTGCGTATTTCAGATTTCATTTTTATTTCTAAAAAAATGTCAACTTAATTTGTCCCCAAATTAAGTAGAATGGTTAATCAGAATTAGAATTTCATTGTTACCAAGTTCAAATTAATGAATTTATGTAACGTGATATAAAAAAATATTCAACGACATTCGAAGGAGCTTATGAGTGTTTTGAACAACTTCTTTGTTTCAATGATTTGAATTAGATGCTCATACCATTTCACACTGTACAAGATCACTCAAAATTCCATTAACATCTTACCCTCATTGTAGTAAGATTTTTGGTTGAATTTTTATTCATTATTTCGTCCAAATCACATGTTGTGTTTCACTCTTTAATTTCTTTTATCATAACCAGGTCAATTCATTGAGCACTCACCTTTTTTGATTACTTAAACTAACAATTTTAGAGTTGGAGGTGAAAGAAACTTATCATCCAAGCAATCCTTTCTTATTTTAATTGGATAAGTAGATTCAGGAGCTAACATCTTTGATGGTCACTCAACTATCAACTATTTTCACATAAAGTTACTCAACTTTCATTTTCAACTCAAAAGTCACTTAACTATGACTTTTGTGCAAAAATGTCATAGTTGAATGACTTTTGAGTTGAAAATGAAAGTTGAGTAACTTTATGTGAAAATAGTTGATAGTTGAGTGATCATCAAAGATATTAAAATAATACCAAATAAATGTAATGAAAAAAGTTTACAAGAAAGGTAATGTATGTGTCTTCCATGTTAAGATGTCCCACGTCGGTAGAGTGATGAGAATTTGGTTTCTTTATATGGACTTAAAACAAACCTTTCCTCATTAGCTGTTTTTGGGGTTAACTTAGATCCATGTGTCATATCTTTACATTCCATTATTATTTACTCCATCTATTTTAATTTATTTATATAATTTTGACTTAACATGAAATTTAAGAAAATAAAAAAGGATTTTTAAAGATTTCTAACTGATCTTAGAACTAAGACATATAAAATATATCAAAATATTATTTTATCTTATTGTAACATGAAATGTAAGAAATTGAAATTACATAGCTACTTAAAAAGAACGATTTTTTTTAACGCACTATAAAGTAAGAAAAGTAATATAACAAATAAATTGAAACTAACGAAACAAAATACAGGCTGTACTAATTTATAGTTAGTGAATAGTGAATTTACTCTCTTTCTTGATTACTTCTCACGATTAAGAGTTCTTAGGTTTGAGTTCCCTGAATATGGAGTCATCGAGTTCGAGTCCCCTAAATACGGAGTCACCGCACACGGGGTGGAAACAAAAAAGAATTCGCACTGCCCTCCCCACACGGCCAAACCCAAACAGAGGTGATAAAAGAGAGTATACATTCTATTTCCTACATCAACGCCGCATTTACAATCAGACAAACTTTTTCTTTCTCTCTGAGAGATTCTTCTCTTCTTCCATAATTCACTTCTCCATTAATCAATCTATGGAGAAGAAAATGGATCATCATCTCTGCTTCTCAAACACTAGTCAATTACTCAATCTCTTCATTTCTGAGTTAACTCTCTTCTCTTACTTCATTCTCTCTCACCCTCTTTACTTCTCTTACTTCATCTTCTTCTCTCCTTACCTTGTTAAAATCATCTCATTTCTCTCCCCTCTCTTCATCACCATTTCCCTTTTACTCCTTGCACTTGTCAACAACACCATCTCCCCTGCTTTTTTCATATCTTCCCCTGACTCAGACAATGTTAGTACTATTCTGCTATCTTTCAAGAATGCTCTACTGGAAGCTGATGCTGAAATTGAGGAGTTTGATCGTTTTGAGGATTTTGAAGTTTACAAGATTGTGTTTCAAGAAAACCCAATTGAGTTTTTTCACTATACATCCCCTGAAGAAAGTGAAAAATCACTTCTTGATTCTTCAGTTCAAGAAAAAGACTCTGCCATTGCCACTGCCACAGTTGATCTTGAAAATTCAGGGGTTGTAGTGGAAATGGATGAGTTTGAAAGCAAAAATTGTGCTGATAATGTGGAAAGGAAGAAAATTGAGGAAATGGGCACGAAGGTCGAGAAAGTTGTTGAAAAACAAGAAATGATGATGGGAAATGGATCCAAGGAGGTGGATAAAGTGAAAAAGGCACATTCTTGGAGTAATCTTGACCAGAATTTAGGGAGTTATGGATCTATGAGGAAAGAAAAAGAGTGGACAAGGACATTAGCATGTAAACTTTATGAAGAAAGGCACAATTCTAGTAGTGATGAAGGAATGGATTTGTTATGGGAAACTTATGAATTAGACTCTGGAAAGAGCAAACTCAAAAGGGATAACACTACAAAGAAGAAGAAGAAAGGAGAATCCACATCCAAATCCAAATCCAAATCCAAAAGCTACAAAAAGTATGAAGAAGACAAAGGCGAAGAAGAAGAAGAAGAAGATATGAATGAACAACAGTTATGTTGCTTACAGGCTCTCAAGTTCTCAGCTGGAAAGATTAATTTAGGAATGGGAAAGCCTAATCTTGTTAAGATTTCCAAAGCAATTAAAGGGTTTGGATGGTTACATCATGTCACCAAGAAAAACAAAGTCCATTGTGGAGATAGATTTTAGTATATGCTTTTATATTGAGTAATTAAAAGATACTCATGTTTGTAGTAATATTACTATAATATGTTTTCCAAGAAATTAGACTACTTAACAAGTAAATATTTTTTGTTGTAGTTCTTTAGTTATGTAGCTATGGTACAACAATTAATCAAATCCTATCTCATTATCCATGATACTTGTGATATATTGTTGGGAAGAAGAGGTGAATGTTGATAAATCTTCTTTATAAATTGTTGTGTTGAATGTCCTCTAGGCATGCTTGCTTGATTGATATGTTCCCCCTTTGCCTAACCTTTGGCTAAAATGAGATTCTGAATATCACTATATGATACTGTTTTTGTGGTCACATCTGTTTATATGAAGAAGGAAAAAGTTTCACTCTTCTGCTGTTTGTACATTGCTTTTTCTTTCACACAGCTGACAGCATCACTACTTTTCACTTTTGGGAGATTAGTAAAAAAAATTATATGGATTTGGGAGAGGGTAGATTCCACTTGTCTATCAAAGCTCTATACTTTCTTAGAACAGTTAAAAGCAGGCGGAGCAGAGGATGCGTGGCTAAAAGGTACGAGAGGGGCAAGGCACCGGTGAGATCAGTTTTCTGAGAGTGTAACCCAAATGAAGAGATAACAATGCTAACCAGGAACAGGCAAAGGATGCCTGACCTGAAGAGGGAGACCTGTGTCCCAGTGATGTGAACAAAGAGACAAAAAAGGACTGATATGCGGGGTCGTTGTATAGATTCACCTAAGCAAATCAGGAATATTGGTTGGCATCACTCTTCACCACACGGCCCGAACCTATTGATTTTAGTACTTTCGGGCTCTAGTGGAGCTTTCTTATTGGGGAAACCTCACCCTTGTAACCTAATTGATGAAATTCATGAGTATGCAGAAGTTTCCGTCAATGGAGGCAACAGATCACAACTCAGATAAAGAGAGAGTTGTTAAGCACAGAGAAGAGTAATGTGAAAATGGAAAATTTTCATTCCAATCGTCTAACCATACAAAGCTGTATCTAGCTATCTATATATACAAAAATAAAAGCATCTAACTAATCTAGCTGAGCTGTACATTTTCCTAACTAACTATTCTGCATCAACTACACCTCACTAACTGTTCTAACAATAATCAACTTAACTAACTAACTCGTGCCATGTCACTGATCCAGGTGAAGCCTCCATGTCATCAATCCATGTGCGATTCATTCTCAACACTAATAGTTTACTTCGTTCATTTGTATAGGGACTCCGAATTTTAGTAATGCAACAACAATACTCTCATTCTTGAGTTCCAAGTTTGCTTTACTCAATCTTTATCGTTTAAGTATATTCATTCGTTCATAAACGTCACCGCTTACGTCTCCAGATATGTAACATACAACAAAAAATAAGATTGAAGAAGCTTCATTCGCTTTACTTTCTTGCTCGTTTCATTTACTTTTTAATAACTAATCTTACAATATTCAATTGTTAATAACAGGATCTAAAGGGTTAATGTAGGACGCATGTCCTTGACCTACTGTATCATTTCTGTGATAAATAGTTTGGTGCCCACCGTGGCACCAGGACAACTGTGTGCTGGTTTAACTGATCACTGAACCTTATTTTCTCACTAGTTTGAAGTTCCCGGATCGTTCTCGTGATCGAGGCTAATGGGTATCTTTGGAATCAAGCAAGGTGAATCTATGCCACTCAGGGACTTCATCATGAGATTCTAGGAATAAAAAAAGTGCATTGCCCAGGGGTTTGGGTCCCTGAGGTTTCATAAAGGGCATTGAATCCAAGGAGCTTGTTCGTTTATTCTCGTCTGAAAGAAAGCTTGATGAACGTCGAGGTCAAAACTTGGGATGAAGTGTTTCAGCAATACGAATCCATAGCCAGGACAGAGGATGACTACTATTACAGATTGCATAAGAGAATGATGAGTGTATGAGAAGCCTATTCTGCTCCACCGAGCTGATCCTACCGGAAAGAGGTAAATATGATGATCGGAGGAGAGGAGATCAGCGGAATAAGAGTATCAACAACGAAAAAGGCCAATGTCATAATTCTAATGTTGAGGCAATTATTTTTTATGAACAAGAACTGGACTACTCGGAGCTCCTTCATAACAGCGCTCTGGTAATCTCTTTAAATATTGCAGACTTTAATGTTAGACGTGTGTTGATTGATCCATGCAGCTAGACAAATATTATCCACAAGCGAGCCCTCGAGCAGATGGACCTGGCAGATAATGTAGTACCAGTAACTAAATTATTGGCTAGGTTCAACATGTCTAATTTTTAACATTTTACTTACCTTGTGCCACATATGCTATAAATATCACATAAAAAGTTACCTGATTATAAAATAGCCAAAACTATTAAAAATTCACTGGCTAGTTGGCACTTGGAGACAATTCGGCTACTTATATATTGTGGTGGTAAGTCGAATCTTGAAGCTGGGAAACAAGAATCTTCAAGGCAACAAGTCCATAGAGAAAGGGATGCAATGGCGCCCAAAAAAACAGAGGTAATTGAAGATCAAGAAGACAACAGTACGTCAAGAACTGTTTCTATTCACATTAATGACTGCAAGCTAAGTACGTAAGTCACTCCATTTCTATTATGTTAATTTTCCAATGATCAATTAAAGACCCTGTTACGTTTAATAATGAATAAACATAATGGTGCATGCTTTTTTTGGTACATTGTATTTTCCACAGGTGGATTCATCAAGAATGTATGTGAAATGAAAGAAAGTGATGGTATAGTACTGGACCCAGAGGATAGGACTACAGATATACTGAATGAAAAGAGTGATCAACTCACCAATTCTGATATATATTAATGTTAAATTAATAAAAATGTACTTCTTGTTTGATTCTTGACAATGATTTATTGTTCTGTTATTCAAGCAGAGACAAAACTGATCGTGTTAGTACGTTGACAATCTGACCTTACCAGTAGTGCCAATGGCTTACAGCTCCCGCCTCCCAGGGAAAGAAGTCAGAGAGAAACTCCTTCCTCATATTTCTGCACCTGCTCTCGGTGAAGCAAAAGATGTAATTTTAGTTGATCATCAAGGACAAGAATGGGACATGTTACTTTTTCGTCAAAATGAAGATCTCTACTTTCTTAAAGGACATTGGTATGACTATGCAGATGTATACAATTTAGCTGTTTCAGATACCATAGTTATTGAGAGGATCATGAAGCAGCAAGTGAAAGAAGATTTGGATTTTGCTGCAGTGAGTGGGATTGGCGATCACGACTGGGACACCATCTTTCCTCCCAATTCAACATGGCAGATTGAACAAGTTACTACTATTAACACAGAAGACGTCGAAGAGCCAGATGAATTAGCAGAGCAAACTGAAATCAAAGATATTGGCAAAGTAGAAGTAGTTGTAGTTATGTATGAAATCACAATCAAGAGAGGCCCTCAAATTACTAAGTATGTTATATTATAGTTAGTTTGAGTTCTGTTGCATGAAAAATGTATAGAGAACACTCAAACGAAGTATTATAAGAGAGAAATACACATGGATTTTGATTTTAGAACTTTACTTTGCTACCTTGATTTACTCCTTTTGTCAATTGGCTAAATAAATTGTTATGAGATAGGTCTATGCAAAACTTATGTTACAGTAGCATCAAGACTAGCCTACGTAGGTCACTTGTATCGTACAGCTCGATATCCATTAGCTTGATCACTTAGATTTGAATCAAAATAATAAGAATATATGTCTCTCTAATCAACCCAAGAACCCTATATATCTATACGCATTGCCATGTGAGGACGAAAATAAAAACATTCCCCAAGCTTTTGTGTTTATGTCTGCGACCAGTTAAAATGACTATAAAGAAAGCATTAGTAATGAACATTTTAAGAGAGAATCGGATGAGTTCCTCCCAAGTTAATCATTGTTAAGCTATTGAAAGAATACACAAACATCCGCAGAAAAGATTTGGAGAAAAGGTACTTGAACAGGAAAAATTGTTATAGAATATACTAACATGTAAACGATCTGAACATGAATATCTGCAGATTACAATTGTGCGTTTTGAGTATGAAACTGTTAAGGCACTAAACAAAATGCATGAAGCTACTTAGTTTGATGGCTAATCCCAATGGATGAATGCATTAAATTCAATCCTGTGTAAGTGACAGACTAGTATTAATGAATCAATCCATCAGAGCCAGTAAGCATCATTACTATCATATCCTGGTTCATCACTATCAAATCCTGGTTCATCACTATCATATTCTGGTTCATCACAATGAAGTTCCATCCTATTATCGACAGTAGTAGTAGTTGCAGTCAAAGGAGGTGCTGAACTATTATTGACAGCTGAAGTAGTTGCAGTAGAAGCAGGTGCTGAACTATTATCGACAGCAGTAGTAGTTGCAGTCAAAGGAGGTGCTGGACTATTATCGACAACTGAAGTAGTTGCAGTAGAAGCAGATTCTGAACTATTATCGACAGCTAAAGTAGTTGCAGTAGAAGCAGGTACTGAACTATCATCTACAGCAGTAGTAGTAGGAGGTGCTGAACTATTATCGACAGCAGTAGTAGTCTGATAAGTGATTTCAAAGTGATAGGAGGTGTTGACAAGCTGAACCTTTGCAGTTGGATCAAGAATTACCATGTTAACAAAGATAGTAGTGTCTTCGATAATCAACAATTTGTGTTTAGCTACATATTCCTCCCAATCGGTTCCTGTAATATAATATTCGTCTTGAACAGGATGATCCACTAGCACAACAATTGACTCCTTCGTAATTGTATCATTTAGAGGTAGAAATATTGAATGTCCTACTTGAAGAAGAACATGTGGAACAAGCAATCTTGATTCTTCCTTTGATAACCGTAAGCAGTTGGGATTCTCTGCAACATCTTTAGCACATAAATTCTTGACAAGCACTGGTATTATCTCTATTGATTTACTGCAAATTAAAAACAAGAAACATATGAGTAAATGAGTTATGACTAAAACCGGGAATTGAATTGAAAAACATACTTGTGTAATTTGCAAGTGTAGATTTCATAGAAAAATCTTGGCTCATAACAATATATGAAATCCCCACATTCCAGCTTGTGTTGAGCTGCATACTCATCCCATCCACTTCCTGAAATTTGGTATTCGTCTTCATCATCACGCACTAGTTCCACTGTAAATGTCCTTCTCT